GGTTCGTTTATTGCGGACTCGCTCTATCACGGTTTTTCAAAATAAGATTGGACATGACACACAAGTGGCTGATTGATGGATGAGCCGCACGATCGGCACGCAGTTTTTATTTAAAATAAATTATTTTAAATTATTTAGCACCTCCTGCAGCTCTGTGCAGCCCTGACTGCTGCAGGATAGACTTCCTTCTGCAGCTGATCAGCTGTTCTTTGTTGGCTCTTATAGTTTGTCTTGTGAAAAACTCTTCGTACCACATGGTATAGTAGCTCAGTGTAAAACTGAGTGTGCTGTAGTGTTTTTTGTGTTGGCTAAGATCTGATGGCTGTGGTGGCCATTTTGAAAGTCCAACTCTGTAATGCTTTGTGTTTTTTGTTCATGCACAATAAGTCTTTTCTGCACCAAAGAAACGAGGAAAACCTAAAGTTTTCAACAAACATCTTTAACCGGTTTAACTTTCTGTTTATTCTTCCCTCTGGAGTTACAGATGTGCTCATGTGGATAATAATTAACTCTAAATTTAGTGCTGTAGAGAGTTATTACAGCAACATCAGGAGCTTCACTCTTTATTTTGAAGCAAACATGTTCTGACTGTTAGACAAAGCTGATACTATCCAGGCACATTTTGCTCGAGAAGGTGTTGGCACACACTGAGGTGAAACATCACATTATCACCGACCGGTTTGCTGCATGAAGTTCCCTCATTATTACCAGTGTCAGTGATGAGTGAAGAAGCTGAGGAGCCTCGTGCTGAGAGGAGGAAGACTCTCCCTTTATGAGACAGGAACCAGAGGTACTGACAGATGGTCATAGAAACCAGATGAAAGAAGAATCTGTGCCTGAAATAATGAGTAAAATGAGTCAGAAATGCACAAAGTGGAAGTCGTTCTGTGTCTAGCTGGAGCTGATTTACCTGGGCTGATCTCACTTTTATAATTTACCTGGTGTTTCTCCAAAAAACCAAAACCCATTCAGGAGGATAAGCTTTAACTTATCAAGCTCCTTTGCCAGTCTCCCTCCTCCCTCCCTCCCTTCATCATGACTTTAGGTTATTGATCTAAAGCCTGCTGCGGTGGTGACTGAGAGTATTCTTCAATTCTTTGCTCCAAGCTGAAAGTGGTATATCTAATTTAAACACTTTGTCATAAGATAATGAAGTCAACCCTGCAACGTTTTCTTGAACCTGATGGCTCTTCATTCTACACATTGAAACTTTAAGCTCTGGAGGTTCCATTTTCATAATTCTTATTTATATTTTGCATACTTCACTAATACTTAAGGAGATTTTTTTTTTTTTCAGAGAGAAAGAAAAAAAATATATATGTATGTATGTACGAATA